TACGGGCTAATTAAATATTACACCATTAGACATCATGCTAGAAAGATAATAATAATAATAATAATAATAATAATAATAATAAATAAAACATCTGGGTATCATCTTAATTTTATCTTAATGTTGTGCTCTGACTTTTTCCCTGATTTTATGAAAATTGCTTATGAATGGGATTTTGAATTGATGAGAAGTCCTTTGCAGAATTGAGCATTATGTAAAAGAAAATCATTAAAAACTGTTTTGCACATGCTTTTATATCAATTATTGACATCACATGTCTTTTTATGCACCACTAACCCTCCCAAATCACAAATAGGTCTATTTGGATTTCTGTTATTGGAGTTTTTAAACAATTTGTGAGGTCTAACAGGGAGCTGACATCAGACATAATTAACATGACAAATGCAGGTGTACCCCTCTGTGAATGGCCTTTTTGGTAAATATAAGGAGATTTGTTCATGCATAACCCATGTAACATATAAAACATGAGATCTTTTTTTCTGTTTGGTGTAATAGCAATGGTTTATTATCATTTCTGTATTTTGTCACCACGTAATGTGCAGCCTCATCCCGTGGACAAAACAATCTAACCTTGAAGTTCATTTTACTAGCTGTTCTGAAGCTTTCGATCATATCACATGAACAACATTAGGAGATGTAGTCATGGAATTGTAAATGCTAAATTTTTCTGATCATTAAGGACTTTAGTTAGCTTTAAATTTTAGTTTAGGGATTCATTTAATATTAAAAAATGAACTTGTGTGCAGAGGATTGTGTGTTTAAATATGTTTGACACCAGAATAGCTCTGCTTTAAGAAAATATACTGTGTCACGAGCCCTATGTTAATTGCGTGTAGTGTCCGAGAGTTTGGGTACAACATGTTGTGTTACAAAGTTTTGGGAATGTTTTAGACAGTTTATTTACAGTATGACCAGACTACTGAGGTTCAAATAAAGTTTTCAATCAACAGCAGCACATTAAATTGGAAAAATGGAAACAACATAATAAAGCAAACTAACAAAGAAACAAACATGGAAACAGGGCCCAAAGATTAACCAATCATATTTATTTTGTACATCTACCTGTAAAGCATTTCCAGGAAAATGTGTGTGCTAATGCAAAGTGGTTACAAAAATAAAGCACATTCTTACGTAAATATGACATGACAGTAAAACTACACTTACAAATGCTGAATAAGAAAATAAGGGACAGTATCAATTGAATGTCTGTGCCTTTCTGTCATTGTTAAACCAATTTATCAAAAAAGGTATGGTTACTAACACTATCGGACAGTGGTTGTATGATTCAATTCAAGTACTGTACATGTGTACGTACATGTCAACACTCATTTACACGGGCAGTAAACAATCTCCTCAGCAGTTCCAAATGAGTTCCTTTGGGCCTCAATCTCTGACACCAGACATCTAGAGTACTTAAAACTGTCGTGGAAGAAATGGATTAATATAATAAAAATTATTATAGCAAATACATCATCGTAGAAAATACCAACAAAGCAGTGATTGCCTTTTCTCAACTTAATCACTGTAACCTTACGTATCCATTAACATTTTGTAACAACTCTGACAATTGTCAAATCTGAGTTTTAATATGATTTCTCTGATCTAATACTTATTGTGTGATACAACGTAACAATGTGCTAATACTCCTGGTAAATGACTTCAGTCATCAATAGTGGTATTTCATTTTTTTTTTTTAAACAGCTTTTCCAACTGTACAATGCATTTTAGTGCATTTAAAACATTATCTGACATGCATTCATCAACATAAGCTGTTAGAGACTGGAATGACTTACATACATCTATCTTCTAATGTAAACTATAGACAATGTTACTCTAGGGCAGTACCTCGGTGTTAACACTTTAATATACTGGTTTAAGCAAGAAACATAAATATATCTCCACTGACAGACAGTGGGTTTTACAAATACTACGGCCACGTTAATCTCTGTTGGATTCCTGCTTTATACCATCTTTAAGTCAAGAACATAAACAAGGATCTATGCCAAAGAAAGTGTGTGTAAATGTGGCAGCTTATTATATCAAAGGACTGTACAAAATAAGAGAATACACTATGATTAAAAAGACAAGAAAAAAAATGGATGGAAGTTTCTTGTGTGTTTCAAAATTGTCCTCTCAGGTCCTGGTCAAGAGGTAAAGTGTTCAAAAAAGGCAGTTGGGGTCTTGAAAAAGTCTCCCTCTTCATTAAGCTATTGCCTTGGCCTCAGGCAGGAACGCCTCCCAAAACTTTATAAGCTGCAACAGAAGATGAGGGGAATACAAGGTTAAAATGTGTTGTTATAGTGCACACTCAATATCTTTTAATGTTTCAATAAATACCAATTATAACCAATATTTAAAAGTCATTATCATAATAAAAATGTAATGTTGTAGAACACTTTGGTAGCCATGAATAAAGTAAAGCATACTGAGTAAAGTGTATATGTTGAATATAATATATATTGATATATAGCTAAATGATTACCCGTTGTTGAGACTGCAGCATTGCCTCCAAATATTTGATTATCTGGCTCTTGAAGTCCTTGGCTTTTTCTTTCTGAAAAGACAAAAGTGTGTCACGTCTCAAGCTCTTAGCCACTGCAAAAGCCAGCTCTAGAGATTTCTGACAGAACATTAAATCTAATTTGATGTGGTAAAACAATACAACACCAACACTTTTGACTTTTTATAGCTATTGTAAATACATAAACATACCTCAAACCTGAGAACCTCCTTGCGTACAGTCATTCCAACCCTGTCGAAATCTCTCTCGTACTGAGTAACCCTCGCCTCCCACTGAGAACATACATGAGGAGGAACAAAAACGATTAAGTATCCATATCTTGATGATGAGATATACTATATATCTACAATATAATACATGATACATAATATCCTTTTAAACAGTAAACAAATACTGTAATCTGACATCATTTTTTATTGAACATAATACACTGATGGCACTAGCCAAAATACTACAACAGGTACATCGGAGCACTCTTGTACATGAGCTCAGTATCGGACCTGAAACTGTTATCGGTATCAGTGCATCCTATAACAGACAAAATGAAAAATTCTCCTCTTTTGAAGAGGCTACAACTATAAATCAGCTGGGTCCCTGGTTCACTGTGTACATACAGGTCAAATTTGATCTTCTGCCTGTTGTACTTGAAATTTAAAAACAATTTGAAAGCACTGGATTGGTCACTATGTCCGTTACCTCAGTGATCTCTTCTTTGGCCTGCTGCAGTTTGTCGGGCTTGTTGGCCCACAGCAGCTTGGCCTCGGCTTCTCTCTTCTTCTGGAGTGTGCTCTGAGCCTCCTGCCACCGCTGCCACGCCCGTATGCGCTGGTCAAAACACCCCTGTGGGCATCCATTGAGATTAGATGACAGTAATACAACACCTGATCATTCCACATCCCAAACAGAGAACAGGTAGCATGGCTGCAGTAAAGCAGTGAGCTAGCACAATGTTAAAGGTTATTAAATTGTGTCCTTACTGCTTACATCTTTATGTTGCTCTGATAAAGTGCAGGGTTCAGAGAGAGTAGCACCTACAGCACATTATTTAACATACTGAACAATTGCAGCAATGAGTTTAATTTGAAGCATTAAAAACTTGCTCAACTGACAAAATTTGACTTTGGTATTAAAAGGATTAAAAACACAAGTCACACAATAACACACCAATGTGGCAGCAGTAGAACATATACCCGTGTTATGGAATAACTTTTTGTCAATGGAGTCTGGTGGGTTAAAACAAAACTATATATAACGGCTGTTTCTGGTTAAACAAAATCTTACTCTTTGAACACAACGCTCCATCTCTGTAGGGAGCCTTCCTATGATGTTGTCAGACACTTAAAATAACAATCTGAGGCTATCAGTAGCATAAACAAGCACTTTTAGTGGAAGTTGCAGCTGCAGCCTACAACGCTCTCATCCAATACTGGGCCAATTTAAAAGATTGTTGTCCCCATTAGTCACTTAGACAGAAAAACGTGGGAAAACAAGGTCCAGGTGGAAAAGTTTCCTTTTAAGTGATTCAGCTTTACAAGATAGCAGTGAAAAGGGGTTAGATTTCAATTTGTATGTTTTAGTCCTGGTATCAGGAACTACTCAGGTTTTACTTTTTAATGCCTCTCTGCCTCAGCAGAATCTTTACTACTTCCAACCGTATATCTACCATTCTGCAGCTGTGAGCTCACCCGCATAGCGCCCAGCAAGCGGATGTAGTCGGCCAGCAGCTCCTCAAAGATGAAGAAGTCACTGGCTGCCTGCTCCTGATGCAGCTGCTCCATCTTGTCCTCCACCTCTGCCAGTTGGGACAGGGCCCGGGACAGGGCTGTGTTGTCCTCAGAGTTTCCCAACATGGCCATACTTTTGGCAAATACTGCCGTGTTCCCACACAGCTCTGGTTTTGCAGGAGGAAACAAAAAAACCTATTCAGTCTACTTGTTTCACCCTAAAAAACTAGGCAGCTGAACTGTACTCTTCTGTTTCCTCTGTTGAAACAATTTGATTAAAAAATTGGGCAGACAAAGGCAAGTCAAGAAGGGCAGATGTAGCTCACCCTTCCTGTGATTGACCAGGGAGTCGACCAAAGCATGAAGCTTCCTCAACTGCTGCTCCTCGTTCTCCACCTCCTGAAACTTGTCCTCAAACCACTGAGGCACGCAGCAAGAACAGGACAATATCAAGAAAAATCCTAATC